GGGGCCAAGACCTCTGCTAAGGGGGTCACATTTTGCTAAAAAACACCCCGTGGTTTTTTAAAAAAAAAAAAAAAAAAAAAAAAAAAAAGAGTTTAGGGAGATTTTGATCTTTCACCGACAGCTACGGTGATTATTATGTGTCATCGTAATGAAATGTATTTTGAGGGGAAAAGAAAAGGAACGATTGAATCAAGAATGTAGAGAGGCTTCTTCTTTAGCCTTATCTGTCACCATCAACCATAATCTTTTCCCGAGCTGCAGATTAATTTAAAGATTACAGAGAGCCATAAATGTGCTCACGCCCTTATTTTATTTATTTTTTATTTTTTATTGTATCTTCTCAGCTCCTTCTTTAGCCGGCTCCCCTCTCCTGCCCAGTGACACTTAAAAGCTTCCCTCTGAATCAAATCAACAGCGAGAGATAATTCAGCCCGACAACGTTCACAATTGTGCTGGCGTGATCTTTTTTTGTGGGGGCACCGCACGTATCTCAGGAGGGAGGCAGCAGCGGTAAAAATTGCAGTGAGAACGAGAGCTAAAGACGGCTGCCAATCCAGAAGATTAGCTAGGAAATAAATAGCTTCAAATCAAACATTGTTTCCCTTTTTTTTTTCTTCTCTCTCTCTTTTTTTTTGTTTTGTTTTGTTCTCCAGACGGTAGTAGCTGCTCATTTTTGCACAGGTGTCTTTAGTCGTTGCGTGATTCATCTCCAACTGGCAGCCGGTTTTTAAACATGCAGTCTACATGCCACCGCGCACCTACATAACCAATCTATCAAGCCTAACCCAGACATTGCGTGCATATACTCCCGTATCACAGAGAAGGCCCAGGACGCAACTGTCATAGATGGCGTGATTGAATTGTTCCCTTGCACTGTCACCAAAGGGGCTATTACTTCAAATTAGCATACAAATTCAAACCAGGACAGATGGATTTGTCACATTCCAGCCGCCGTCTTCCTGGAAGATTGGCTGTGCTTGTGCTGCGCGATGGAGATAAGACACCTGTCGTGGTGCTGTTTGGGGGTGAAGGACCGGCGTGGGATGGGAGGAGGAGGAGAAGGAGGAGGAGGAATGAGTGGGTGGATGGATTTCCAGAAATGCTGAGGTGTTTTGCAATAAACTTTCTCTACCCCACGGTCTCAAATGATGATGAGGCACCATCCAGGACTCTGTGGGTGGCAGGAGATTGAGCTGCAGCGAGCTGGTGATTCACGCTGTTTGGAATGACGCCGAACAATACCTGCCTTGCTTTTTTTGTTGTTGTTGTTTTTTGTTTTCTTGTTTCTTTTTGTCTGTGTTTGCGACTTTCGGTGAGTTACAGCGCCTTGCAAGAGTATGGAAACCCCGTACAACACGTGTTTTTGGGATGTCATGCGACATAGGCCAAACCAACCAAAGGTACGCGCCAACCAAAAGCGGTGCGTACTTTTGGACTTAAATGAAAAGTATACGGTTTTCGGTCTTACTTCTTTTTTTTTTTTGCAAAGTTCTTATACTCAGCTCTTCTTACACATAACATTGGATAAAGGATAAAACAATATCCCAAGCTGACATCAGTCAGAGAAACAACTAGAGACCTATAGTTACCCTAGCAGAGTGGCACAGAGCTCAGGGAGGTGAGATTCTATGTTAGAGGTTGCAGAGAAACTGTACATTGTGGTGGAAGTTCCACGTCTTGTAGATTAGTAACCAAAACCATTCATAAATGGGAAGAACACCTCATTCGAAGTCCAGACCTAAATTCAAATGAATCTGAGGCAACATTTCAAAAAACTGCCTCACAGAAAAGTTGGTAAAAATTTTACTATTTTGATGTCAAAAGCCGATGGAGTCGCTCTTCGGAGTACTTACTGCTGAGATTGCCATGAAACGTGATTCTCAAAGTATTAACCCGCGGGGCTGAATAGAAAGCAGATACCTCCATCCCTAGAATAATTGTAGAACATTTTGAAGAGCATGTTTCCTCCTTCTTTCCCCTTTAGAAGTGTGCACTCATTTGTGTCTATCTGACATCAAATGTATTGAAGCTTTAAAGGTCTGGGTTTTTTTTTTTTTTTAACACTTTTGCAAGGCACTGACTGTGTCGCTAGTCTGTAGCTAGGACTGCGAGTATTGATGTAGAGCAGCTGTAGGGTCAAATAAATTACATCCTTGGCCTCGAATAACCTTCACACTTTTAATAGCTTTGGAAAAAAAAAATACATGCAAATACCATTTTATTAATATTAATTATCCAGTATTAATAGGTGTTGACAAGGATGTCTGCGTGTACTCATTCATACAGGCCGTAATCGCGGCGCTCGCATCAGACACTGGAGAAAATACAGCTTGGAGACATAATGATTTTCATTTGTAATTATGGCAGCGTGAATCAATCGGAAGTACCGAGCATGAAAAACTGTTCTTACCTCGGGATCAATCCCATATAATTTCCAGATCAGCTCAGTCTAATGGCTTTTCTATTGGCCTGATTAGTCAGACGGAGACTTTTTGTGTCGCTCCGTGTGTTCCCGAGCAAAAGGCCGACCGCTCAGAAACCCGTTTCCCCAACAGTCAAAAACATCGGAGCACACTTGGTTGCTTGCTGACGTGGCACATTACAGAATCTACAGACTTAATTTAAAAAACAACAAAACAAAAAAAAACAGTCCCAATGCAGGGTCTGGTGTCTCCGCCTGGCTACATCCAGACGCTACGGAGGTGTTGTAAAAATGCTTACTTGTTCATTTTCTTGCTTTATTCTTAGTTCATCAGTGGACAGTGGATGTAAAAACAGAAAAAAGAGAGAAATGCCTTTTTTAAAAGAAGAAATCACAGATCTATTACATTCTAACTGCATTTGCCTGTAGAATAAATTCAAAACAAAATATCTCTCAGATATTAGCCTTTGGAGTAAAGGACTTAAACTACATTGCAGAATACTATTACACTCCCAAGTCACATTCTTCGTACCACGAGGATTTGCAATGACTTTGACCAATTTTTAAAGCACAAACATAAAATGCTGTCATAAATTTGCAGCAGATTTTAATTGAGGTCTGAAAAAAGAAAGGAAGGATGGGTGCAAGTTTTAGCGACTAGGATAAAGAATGTCTGGAAATGAAAGCATTTTTCCATAATTGTCATATTTTTCAGTCGTTTTTTTTTTTTTTTCCCCACAGCCATCCAGACTTGGAAAATGCTTCAATCAAACTCTATGCATCTTGTTAACCTGATAAACACAATAAATAAATGATCTTCCTAAAGCTGCCAGAGCATTCAATTCTGACTAATTTATAGACCAATGAGCTTTTCCATTTGCTATACAAGGCAACAGACATCCAACTTTCACTATCAACTACTAAACATATTTTCTTTCTTCCTGAATAGAAAACAGAGCAAATTATGATTCTCTCAACCCGACGCCTTTACCTTCCACGTCCAAGAGGCGCCGGCCCAAAGCAGCGCAGCCTGAACAGGATCTGGCACAGCAGGGATTTTCACACCGATCTTGTTCTGAAACATTTGCAATTAACATTCCTCCTCAACTCCAACTGTTTCTCGAGCCATCAATACCCCACGTCCCCAAAGAGGCAGGAAAAACGGGCTGGCTTTCACAGGTCGGGAAGTGAATGGATCTGAGCGAGCGAATGAGAAGTTCATGTGCAGATTATGCTTTAATTGTAATGATGACAGAGAGAGAGAGTTATTACAAATGCATTTTTTATTAAACGGGAGCAGCTGACGGGAAATGAGATGAACATTACATCAAAATGCCGTTTAATTACATCTGATCAAAAGCCACTCTTAATACATTAATGCCGCTAAAGTAGCAATAAACAATGGGATGTTGAAATTCACATCAAGTATCATGCATCAGACAGAATGTTTCATTTTCTGATGACAAGATATTTCTAAACCTATTTAGCCTGTTTGCAATGATGCTTAAAAAAAGAAAAAGGTCCAGTAAATAAATATCCCACAGTTGATGAATCATGAGAATGCATTTGGTGCAGTGAAGGGGAAAAAAAAATAAAAAATAAAAAAACCGTCACACAGTGTCCTTCGTGGGAATTAAAAAGACAAAGAACACTGAAACGAGTTCGCATTTATACTCTGTACTGCCGCAGCACTCGCAGGCCTCCTTAGTACTGAGTGTATTCCTTGGATGAGAGTTTTGCAATAATATGCTCCAACTGTCTTTTTGCTTCACACTGAGGGAAGTTACTCATCTCGTAGTACTGCGGGGCAATTTTCACCAGCCTGGAAAAGAAGGCAAGTCAACAGTCACCAAATTGTCTCCCGTGTTTTCTTGTAGGGGAGAAAAAAAAAAAAAAAATTACGTTCTTCCATATTCACGAGGCGACTGCTGGAGCAAGCGCAACAAATTTGGAACGTAATTGTACGAGGTCACACAGGGGGAACAGAAACAGCTAAAAGGGTTGTTTCAGGTTAGCTGGTTGCTCAGAAAGACGCGCCGGTGTGACTGGCTTGTTAGTTTGGATCACATTTGTTGTCATATTTTTCAGTCGTTTTTTTTTTTTAATAAGGTATGCAGCACCTTGCAAACTTATTCATATCGATACAGTGAGATAGGATGAAAACGATACAAGGATCAAAAAACAAAAACTTCATGCTTCAATTTACAAGTTATCAGAACTCAACATGAACAGAGCAGAACAGTGACATATTTACAAGCGATCTGAAACTCACCACTCGGGCTTGATGTCTGTGCAGGTGCGGATGTAGTTCTTGGTGGTGAGGACGAACTCGTTGTAGAGCACCCACTCAGGTTTGTGGTCCAGCACAGTGGAGGGGTGCAGCTGCACCACCTGGTTGTCCTTTGCCGTCAGGTAATGGCCGGTGCGCTCAAGGTGAGCAACCTATTCGCAGAACAGACAATTATGAAGGAAACATCCAAACAAATTGAAATGACACTTTTTAAAAAATATATCTTTATTGTTGACCCTCATGGTTGGAAAAAGAGCAAGTGCTTGAAACCTATTTTTAAGCCCTCAAACGACTAATCCCACCACCACCACCCACCCACCCTGCAGCCACTTGGTCCAGCCTCTGTGGCGGTCGTGATTAAACAAGGCAATCAGTCTCAATAAAGGCCTTTCCAAACAAAGATGTGATAACCAAACACTGTGAACCCTTGAACATGAGCTGCAAATTTGTCTCCGAGATAAAGGTTAATGTTGACAAATATTTCAATATTAGAACCATAATTCAACTTGTCAGGTTGCTTGTTTCACGTGGCCCTGAAAATGGCTTCTTGCAAAGCCACCATTTGTATCCCTGAGTAAGAGACAAATTAATAGGATTTCTTGTTATGTGGTTAAAACAAAACGGCGCTAAATGTGTGTGTGTCTGTGTGCGTGTGTGTGTGCTTGTAGCTCCACGCTGTGTTCTGCGAATATGAAAAACCTGTTTTTCGAAGGACCGACCTCATAAAGGGTGAGCTTCAGGGAGCAACAAATGAATACTTTTAGCCTAAATACGATAGCAGCTCCACCAGACTGATAGCCGACCTGCATGAAGAAGCCGGTGACCAGCGCTTGTCGGATGTTGAGATAATAGTCTCTGCTGTTGAAATCGCCGCTGTTTCTTGGCAGGCTGAAGCGATCCATGATCCTCGACAGCTGCTGCCGGACGTTGTCCGCCGACATCAGCGAGCGGTAGTTCACAAAGTTATCGTAGCACCACTGGGTGGACTCGTGGTCTGTGACAAAGTGGCGGAGAGGGATTTGGAGAAGCATTAAGCAGGTTAGGCTCAAATTTTAATATTACCGAGAAGTTAATCTGCGGTTAATTTATTTGAATTATTTTGTATCTCTAATTTGCGTGTTATTAAAACCTCAAACTCTCCTCAAAATGTGAATACCAGATGCTATTTTTTAAACAAATGTCTGCCGACTGTAAGTATCATCTCCATTTTGATCATATTTACCAAAATGGCCAATCACTGATGAGGGCAATATCATCCATTTATTTAAAGACTCCTTCACTAACCAAAGGACCACAGTTTGTTGATACTATGGTTTTATTGAAATATACATCGCCATTCTCAATAAATTAGAATATGCATTTTAATGAGATTTTAATGAATGTGGGAACCTTTAAAGAAGTATGAAACATACTCTTTGTTTATGTATTAAAATTGGTCTGATCTATAATGTAATGTTTTCATTAGCAGTAAGCAGAAAAATCATCGCAATATACAGAAATAAAGTCTTAAAAACATCAGCTTGTATGCAATTAATCTATATAATATGGTTTTTAAAGGTTTTTGTGGATTTATTCATTTGTAACTAGACAGGAAGAGAGAGAAGACACACAGCAAATGCCCCAGGAATCGAACAGGGGACAATGACATTGACCAACCGCTGATCCACCTGGTAACCTTTGCGAACTTTTCATTAATACGATGCATCCACACGTAAACGAGTGTAACACAGAAAAACAAATACATAACTTACTCTGCTTAAAGGCATGGTAAACGTTGAGTAACGTCATGTGGTCTCCGTCGATGTGGGCAAAGCGCATCTTGGCATCATCGGCCACCTTCTTGGCCTCCGTGGGTCGAACGAAGCACTGTGGGACTAAACAAGGTTGGTATGGGCCCCCCAGCCACCCACAGGGATAAGTTAAGCAAATCCAACAGAGGGAAGAACAAGGCCTCAAACGAGGCACAGTGCATTGCCAAGAGTTTTACGGGTGAACGGGAGAGGAGGGTCTAAGAGAAGGAAGGACGATGGGATTCTCCGTCCTCCTCCACAGTAAGCCTGGTTTTAGACGAGCTACAGCTAACATCTGACAACCAGTCCAAACAAGCGCACAATCTAACAGAACTGACTCAGTGGGGCTGTCTGGTTCTGCCCTTTACCCTCCGTCAATTTGCTCCTGGCCTGCTTAACATCGAACGTGCTTGATTGTGCCTTTAATGGATAAAAGCTGTGTTTATTGAGCCTCACGGTCGACTGCTGTGGCGGCGGCGGCGGCGTTCTCAGGTGAGCTTCTGCTGCTTGCTTTAATGAACTCAGCAAAAACCTTCCATCCTGAAACAGCTGCTTTAAGTGCACACCACGTCCAAACAGCTAGTTAAATCCATTTCCCCGCTCTCAAAGACCCTCACGCTCCCTTCAAAGGCGTCAAGATTCATCTCAATGAGCAGCATTCTGCTTTGGCAAGCCCGAAGTGCAATTACTGCCGTAGCGTGCTAGTGCTGCTCCAGCTACACCTATACATTTTGTACAGACATTTATTCCCCCCCCCCACCACCACCCTTCTTGCTCGCAAACAGCTGACGCTACTGACTTTTTACTCCACTTGCCTCGTAGTTAAGTTCTGAAGGCACACATGGCATGTATTCTAAGTGGCCTTAAACAACTAGGAAGTGGAGTTGAAACAATCAAAATTTTGCATTCATTTTTGGGTTTTTGCCATTTTTGAGAGCTACAATATAAGAGGGACATAATAATAGTATTGCTTCTAGCTGAACAAGTCCAATAACAGTTTTTAACTTTTCTAGGCAAGGTAAACGTTAGCTGGTGTTCCAGTTCCAGTCTTGGTATAAACGTTTATTACTGTTTTGGGAATCTGGACCTGAAAGCAGCCCTGCACATGTCCTCTGAGCTCTCTGGGTCAGTCCAGCCTCTCCTCACACGACGGGCCAGCTCCGGGCATTACCTGACAGCATGGCGGTGATGGAGAGGATCTCGTTGGAGCAGTTGAATTCGCAGCTGGCGATGACCATCTTGGCGAGCTGCGGGTCCAGGGGGAACTCCGCCATCATGGAGCCCAGCTCGGTCAGGTCGCCGTTGTCGTTGAGCGCTGCCAGGTAGTTCAGCAGCTCCAGCGCTCGCATCAGGGTCTCCGGGGCTGGGGAGGACAGAGTGGGAGCGACGGGCTGTTAAAGTGCTCCGACCCCCACAGGCGGGAAGCACACAGGTGGCAGATGCAGACAATTTGCAAAACTGTCATTCTTTTCATCGCGCCGTTACCTGAAGAGTGCAATTTGAATCGACTTTCAAACGAAAATATGGCGGATATGATTAAAACTATCACGAGTGCAAGCACATATATTGCCAACATGTGAAAGCTAAAATGTGTGTTTCTTTCTAAATGTTACAGCAAATGACGTGATATGCATTTGTTCTATCTAGCGTTAACTGGTTGACAGTCCAATTAAACAAGAGAAAAATGTAGGGTTTTTTATATTATTTTATTAGTCCCAATTATGTAGTTCATAATGTGAGTTAGTTAATAAAGTTTCACAGTTTTTATTTTACTTTTAAATCGAAAGAATCCCATCTGTCAGTGTCTGGAGAAGCAGAATGCTTTTTTTTTTTCTTTTTTCTTTTTTTGAAGAACTAAACCTGCCCCTCAAAGGACCGGGAACAGAGAAAACACTTCCATCACCTGTTGTACTTTGAGCTTTAATAGAAGACAAATGCCTTTTAAGAAACGAAACAAACACTAAAATGGAAGCAGTTGGCAGATTTGGCAGCCAGATGCATGAGGTGAATCAGAATGAGATGGCTCCCGTTATGCGATGGCCAGAGTTACGTTCGACAGCGGCGTTTGCAGAGAAGCAATCATGGCAGAGCTCATTTTTCATCCTACACTCTGGCAATCCCAAACAACTAATGTAATTACAGGGGAACTTTCTACTTAATGCTTAAACACAAAAGGCTTCCACCGTTTGGTTAAAAGATTTTTCCTCCAGATGCAATTATTGACCTTTGGCTCCTCAGAGCTGACGCCTAATGACCAGTTGCATGTTAACTGAAAATTAGCTTCAAACACCGACTCTGGTGTTTGCTCACTTTCATTTCTCTGAAGTGCTTCTAAAAAAAAAAAAATTCAATTTCAAACAGCAGGGAGGTGGTTTTTTTATGATTAACAAATATTGATTTAGTCTATCAAAGCTACTTTTTACATTTTTTTTTCTCCTCCTCCACACGGTGAAAGTGAGCCAGATTACTTACCATTCTGATGGCTTGTGTTGGGGGCTGAACAAAAGGTGAGAATCCGATTTCCAAGTACAGCTAGCAAGATGAACCAGCGTGGAAATTCAATCTAAATGTAACGCAACTCATCAGAAAGCAAACATCGACTGGCTCGACACACGAGAATCCGATGTATTAACCCGGGTTGAAATCAATGAGGCAAAAGGCTAAAGGTACACTGAACCAACGTCGGTTTTGAAAGGCGCATTTTGGAAATGTCACCAGGAAAATGAATTTGGCCCAGCAAAGTGCTGGGAGAACAAAGAACAGAACCGTTTTCTGAAATAAAAGTCCATCATAAGAAACAAGGGTGACAACACGGCAAACATGCGGAAGACGACGCGAGACCAAAACTGAACTTTTTGGCCTATTAGCAAAAATCCTACTAAAGTGCATAGAAATCCACATGTGTACAGTAGAGGTTTATTGCATTGTTTATCACGTATTGTGAAAATTTTCTTATCATGATAGGAATTTTGATTTATCGTTGGCTTGATCAATTTTAATTAATGATGTTAAATAAAACATAAAACTGGTAGTAATACGGAAAATGTCTTTTTTTTTTTTTTTTTCCAATTTCCCCCACTCTTTGTTCCATGAGAGCGTCAATAAATGTCGGCAAATTTATTGCACTATATGAAAAAGAAGCCAAACTTGTTCAATTTTAAAACGCCACCAGATATTCTGTCTGATCAAGTCATGGATTCTTTTAATTGATACCGTTATTTACTGACTCAAACTTGAGCTATACCTTAACCATGTGAAATTCACGAGGAAAAGAGAAGGGCTGTTCCTTCCCGTTGAAAGAAAAGCAAGACAAACCAGTGGTCTCTCTGGCTTAGATGATAAAAACACCAAAACTCAAATCCAGCAATTACTTTTCAAACATTACTAAAACATACCAAAATTATTAATAAAAACAGTTGCAGACAACAACAAAAAAAATGCAGCCCCATCTCTAAAGGTTTATGCAGTATATTTATCAACTCCTTCAGTCAATATTGGCCATTTTCCCAGCGAGAGACCTTCAGCGCAGCATATAAAAAGTGATCCACTGTAAATACATGCTATAAGACCTGTCTAGTAACTCTCAGACTTAAATCAGACTTCGTCTGCCACACCCAAGTAGCTCCTGCGACCAGGCTGTGCAGGAGCCGCTTCAGGAGAAACCTTCTGCCCCGAGTGGATCAAATAAATAAAAAGGTAATCCTGCCCCCTTTTCCTTCACCCCACTGTTCCCAGTTAAGACTCCGCCGACAAGGCCAATCCCGTATGTTGATGCGTACCTGCGCGTTTTTGTGAGGAATGCGAGCGTGGTGTTGGAGGTCAGTCACGTTTCGCTGAAGGAATATAAAGGGAAGGCAATTGCTAAGGTGATAGTGCTGCTATTGATGTAACCAATTTCATTCTCCAAATGGCGTTTGCCACAGTAGACGGGGAGAGATGGGTTTAATCTCAGAGGTGAGATGAAAACTATATTATGGCGAGAAAAAGGGAGGAGGGAGAGACGGAGGTTAAGGGGTAGGAAGAGGTGGGTGGTTTCTTCAGGAGGATCTCAAAATACATACATTAGAAAATACAATAACCCACCTGATACCTCAATTAGACACAAACTGTTTAAGACACACTCCAGACGTCTTTCTTGGTTTATTAAAGAATGCGATAAAGCGCATAGGAGAGAGGCTCGGCTAATGATAATGTGCAGAGAAGCAGCGTGGAGCAGACATCAAAGTTGTTGCGAAAAAAAAGTGCTGACAGTGATTTCTGGAGAGATGCAACTAAAACCACAACGTGAAAAGTTGTTAAATGCTTTCAGATGGAACTTTGCCAAAGCTAAAGCACGACCACGACCGTCACAGCCGGACTGTCTATGTGGAGACTTATTCCATCTGTTTGGGTCCGGTTCATCGTTTAGCTGGCAGGATAAATCTAAAATTGTAACTAAAAAGCTTGGGAGAAGAAAGTGTTTATCTGATGTCCTCTGTATTATACAAATATTGCTCGAATCTAATGAAAAACCGCAGCATGCTGGCTCTGGGAGCGTTCGAGCTGTCATAGTTCTTAAACCTTTCCCGCTGTGCCACATCACGCTATAAACTTTTTATCTGGATTGAACGAGAGAGATTAGAACAAAGTTGTGAATAACCACAAAGTAAAAGGAGCAGGATGCATGGCTTAACAAAAACAGTTTTATTCATCTGAAAAGTGTGGCATGTAATTGCATCCTTCTCTACGTCTTTGTTCCAGCTTAATCAAATCGGGCGGACAAGATCTGAACGGCAAGTTTAAAGTCTTATGTTTAGCTTAATCCGTCTTCCTGTTCCGACAGATTCAACTCAATCATGCCCCGTTAAGTCATGTGTCGAGGCGACTCTTGCTTAAAAATCTGTGTCGTCTTTAAACTAACCTGGAGGGTCCATGAAGTCAAAGTGCACAAGATCGTCGATGCCCAGTTTCTTCAGCTGCAGCACCACGGAGCCAAGATTAGACCTCAGGATCTCTGGATATGTGTTGTCCTGTGCCATTTAGAAAGGAAGCCCAGGGAACAATTTAAAGTGAATCAGACACAGTGATTACTACCTACTCATGAATCAGTCATATGTCAGCTTAAACAGAAAACAGGGAGCGTAGGGCATCTGAAGGGCTATTTAAAAAAAGAAACATTTCCATGCCACTAAGAGTGATGGGATAGAATTACCCTGAGGAAAGTGGAAAACTGGGTTTTAGAAGTTCATTTGTCACCGCGGCCATGTTGTTAACACATCTTAAGAAGGCGATTTAGAATCGGGATCCTGAAATCCAAGAGTCGTGAGAGCAAATTTCTCTACAGCTATAAGGTCGCTCTGGGGGATACAAGATGCTCGAGGCAACTGCAGAATGGCATGTGCAAGGAAGACGTCTTGAGTTTATATTTCGTGTAATTTCAGTCATCTTAAAGCCACGCCGCTTTTCACCTGCATTTCTGTCCTGTAGGCTTTCTCCGTGTACAAGCGGAAACATTTTCCCGGGCGCGTCCGTCCGGCGCGACCCGCTCTCTGCTGAGCCGAGGCCTTGCTGATGGCGGTGACCAGAAGGGATTCCACTCTGATGCGTGGGTTGTACACCTGAGAGGGGAACAGAGAGAAAAGGCTTGAAATTATTTAACAGGGGGGGAAAAAAAAAAAAAAACAGAAATGCTTAAACTGGGGTAGCGCTGTTTTTTCTTTTTTTAAAGAAAAAATTAAGAAAGTAACATCTAGCGCATCTACAAGATGATGACAAAAAGCTGCAGAGTGACACATGCGCCCAATTCGCCACGGTGAATATATAATCTTGTTTTGTGCCGAGTGTATGACTTGGCTTCAGGCTGGTGAAATGTCAGGGGAATAAATAACAGGCTTTTCCATCTTTGCTGCTGTCAGTTGTGCACTGCTGTGTTTATCTGAGGATTCTCAGGCAACAGACGCAAATGATCGCAGCAGATAAGGAGTTGCGGGGTGGCGGGTGGTGGGCGGGGGGGGGAGGGGAAGCTAACCTTTTGCTTGGCAAATCCGGGATCAATTACAAACACCACTCCGTCGATGGTCAGGGATGTCTCGGCGATGTTTGTTGACACGACGACCTGCGAACATGAGGACACATGATTTAAATGATCCACCCGAGGCGTCCGGAAAGACCGATGGGATCTCAGAGGTTGGATCTGGCTCGATTGACTTCAGGTACATGCGGTGCTGTTCCATCGGGTGAACAGCGCCGGGCTTTTTGCTTTCGGCTGGTCGTGGAATATTAAGCTGCAATTCGCAAACGTTCCCTAATTTTATAAAAACTGCAACCAAAGACAACAAGACGACTATTTGGTACTCAATCGTCTGTTGAAGAATAATTGGTACTCATTGAAAATGCTAACATTTTGCCATGTCATATCTGTGCTTTTTGATTGAAATGGTACAATAACTGAGTTAAAATAATTATTTTTTTTACAATTTTTTATTTTTTTATTTTTTTTTTGGTCAGATTCTCAACTAGAACTAGATCTGCACCTTGGCCAACACATGAATATGGTCTGAGACCTGCTGGAAGATAAACCTCCATCCAAGAACCAAACCTTTTTCAGACTTATTGGGGTTTCTCCCCAGACTCCATCCATCTTTTCTTTACTTTCTTCTGTTTGACCGTCACATAAAATGCTAATAAAATACACTGTAGTTTTAAGTAACAGGACAAAAGATTTTAGGTCTAACATCCTTTTTGCAAGTCAATTCTTTAGGCCCAAGAAAATATTTCACTTATTCTACAATGCAGCACCAAACAATATATATATTTTATTCGTTTATCATACCTCTTTTCTCCCCACAGGGAGGGCTTGTGTGAAGCAAGTATTTCTTTCTTGATATCTGAAGCACTGCTATCTAGGGATGCACCAACTGTGCCGACCTCACTGTTCATGACTTGCTCTTGATTTCTGCTGTGCAATGTTGGCACCAACAGCTTTACTTTGAATACAAGCTGAGGCAAAGCTTTGTTATGAGCTTAGATTGGACAATTTTTTTTGAAGCCTTTTTGAAGCCTTCACGTTCAGCTCTGTGCTTTTCCATCGTGAAATTAGCAGCGTTCACTACAGGGCTGCATGATGTTGGGGAAAACCTGCAATGTGACAATATTGGAGAAAGTCGCAATGACGATATGACTCGTCATATTTCCTCTTCTTCAGGTAGTAAAGTGATCTAAATTCAATATTTCTGCCTCAAAAAGGCTTTAAAGTTTAAAAGTTTAAAGTCATTTTACATCTGGACTCATCAGACCACATGACCTTCTTCCATGAGTCCAATCTTTATGTTTCCTTACAAATTGTAACCGTTTTCTCTGGTTAGCCACTGAATAGTGGATTTCTTAAGGGTACACAGCTGTTCAGTTGCAATCACTCGAGGTCCCTTCACATTGTGGTGTGAAAATGTTCTGACTTTCACGACTGCACATAGCCCTGAGTTACGTTGTTGTTTTCCTTCGATTTGATGTCACCAAACGTTTAAGCGATCACCGATCACGGTGATTCAGGGTTTTACTTCCGACTGCATTTCTTCCTGAAAGCCAATGGTTCCCTGCTATCCTCCCAGTTGGTAATAATGCGCTGGCGAGCTCTCGACCCAATTTTAGTGGTTTCTGCATCGTTTTCTCTGCTTGATGCCAATGAATTGATCCTTCTTAAACGCATCGACGTCTTTTCGGTGACCACAGGATGTGTCTCTCAACATGGCTGCTGAGAAATGAGAAGCTAACCGTTAAATAACTTTGACAATTGAGCTCCGGCCTTAAATACAAAACCTGCAAAAATCCAACAGAAGGTAGTGAGAAGCAAGGATGAACGGCGTAAAGAAGATCAATACAAAGACACAGATAGATACTTTCATACTTCAGCGCAAGTTCTTCTTGCCATATTTACTCAAATCCAGTGTTTGCAAATAATGTTTAATCCATTTTAAGGTATAAATGTTGAGTTTGACATTAATTTATGGTGGGCGTTTCCATTGAGGTCAGTGTTCAGATGTTTGGATGGATGGATGGAGGGGTTCTGGACTCATCAGCATCCATTACTAATTATTTCATCATTTTGTTGTCGTTAATGAATGCCATAATCCCAACTCTAGCATCTAAAATCTTACAACTGCATTTGATAATGTAGTATTAAAAATAAATAAGACAGAGCTGCATCAATATGCTTTCTTCCTTTAAAAAAAAAACAACACAACCCAGACAGGGCGCTTTGCTGCTTTAATGTTAAAAGAAGAAACCGCAACTGTGGTAAACAGTGGCACGTTGGATGTTTTTGCTGTGAAGGAAATGTGCTAAGTCAATATCTTTTTTCGTTGCGAGAAGGAGAACAAGAAAGGAAAAGCAGCAGTGTGATGAAAAGCTGCTGGGGTTCCAAGAACATGACCAGTGGGAAAATCGTGAACCAGTTCCACGTAGCGGTTTCAAATCTACAATCGTCCCTTATAGCAAAGACGTGCATGGGAAATGACAGCTAAATCAAAGCAAAATTATCCAATGAGTCACATCACCCGGAGTCTGTTAGCTGTTGGGATGCATGCAAACAGGGGGTAAGAGGGAGAAGGCAAGGAAGATGAGACAGTTTCTGCTGCTCTCACGCAAACTTTGATGCTGCTGGGGAATCTTCTTCATAAATAACCCCGGAGACGGTCTGGGTTAGGAAACTCGATTAGATCTTCAATTTTTTTAACAGGACGCCCTGGCGTCGGTGCCGCTGCTTATTAAAAACAATGTTGCCGATTTTAGTCGTCTAACATGCAACCGAAACGTAAACAAACCACAAAATTACCCAAGCGGACGTTTGACGGCTTCCGTCCGCTTTCTCGGTAGTCCTCATCATAAAACGGCGAGCGCAGAACCAAACATCAAGTGTAGTCTTTGCTGATACACGTCCACAGAACCAATTTTGCACACTTGACACACTTCCTTTGTAGCCGTGCCTCTTCAGCTGTCTTCAAGCCGAGAGCCTTGGAGACTTTTAAATCCCACCTTTTAAGTGAGGATTTCTCTGCAGCCTGAGAATGCCTGACTGTTTAGTTATTAATGCCAGAGACAGCCTTTTCCCCCCCTATCATTCTGCCTCTGACCTCGAGTAATTCACCTGTCGAACGGCGCATTCCCCCTTAGTATTCAAGGCGGAAAATGAAGAGGTGGAAATAAACGCTGGGCAGAAACTTATAAAAAGTGGCCGTTATATGCATAATTCTTGGCTGTCGAGATGTGAGCGCATCCCCCTGACAAATTATCACATTTAATAACGATCAATCATAAAGGCTATCCACTAAGTAATACATCAGCTGCTCAGTTCAAAGGTAGATCATTTACTTTGGTCTAGTTTTATGGCTTTAGCGGCACCATTTTTTATTTATTTTTTCCCCAAGTGACCCATAGAAACATAACATTGAAGCAAGGAATGGGCCGATTTTCATTTTAAAGTTGTACCAAGGCTTCAAAATCGCTGGAATTGTAAGTTATATCATTGCTGTGGTTTAAAGTCCTTCTAATGAGACATCAGGAAAAGCGTCTAAAAGAAGATTTCTACAAATCTGCTTTTTTTTGGAAATATTTCCAGTTATGTAAAAACACAGACAATATGTAAACAAACAAACAAACAAAAAAAAACCACATTGTTTTAAATTAGGTAACACTGTTTAAAAACTACAGAGGCAAAATCTGAACATGTCTGGCTACCTCAGCACTAATTAACCAGCCAATATCAGCTTGTCATAACTATCTTACTGTGTAAAGGGGTTTATTATTTATTCTCTTTTTTTTTTTGCTGAGGTCTCTGAGTTTAATAAAAAAAAAGCAATAAACAGTATTTAGAAAATGTTTTTTTTATCTTTATTTATACAGACTGCCTCATTGAGATTCAAGATCTCATTTTTGCTTGAAAAATCCTTAAAAGATGCTATAAAAAATATTATCATCATTACCAGAGAACGTGCTGACGGTGCTGAGTGATTTTCTAAAGCTGTATGAAGCATAGGAATACAGGCCTCCCCCTCCCCCACCTGTTGCTTCACAGACCCAGTCAATGGATGTTTTACTCATTCTTACACACACACCATACCATACCAACTTTATTTATAAAGCACTTTAAAACAACCACAGCTGATACAAAGTGCTGTACATCAAAACACAACACACAAAAAAGGTTAAATTAACTACTTGGAAGTATTTTAAAACAAACAAGATAAGGCTGTCTTATTGTTTCTTCTCTTTTGTACTCAGAAGTCAAATTGCTCAGGTTCTCAGTCTCAAATAAATCAAGGTCGTCCCTGTGAGGTCGCCAGGCAGCCTTGAATTCTCTCTCCAATACGGCAGTTGCAGGTATAAACTAATAATTAACGCCTCTGACAGTTTGAATCTCATTAAGCTTCAGGCACACACGTAGCCGTTCAATATTTATTTAATAGCACGTTCCCTGAGTGTTTGATCATCAAAAATTAAAACAAATTAGCAAATCCCACAGGAACTGAAGTCTCCTTGCAAACAGAACTCGCTCTATTTGGGCGTGAAGTCTAAGTCCCAGTTTTAAACTTTTGACTTTAAAGACAAACTACACGGACAAATGAAACCGCAGTTGTCGAGCCGGATCAAGGTAGTAGGTTTTTGTTTTAAACCTTCGCTTTTAACTTTCGATTGCACGAAACTGAATTATTACCGCACTGTGAGAATGTCACACCAACCAACTGCCTGCTTCAAACAAACCTGCCCGTTTTGTCTTTATCCAGTTTTGCACCGTCTATCAGGCTCCGAATGTGCTTCATAGATGAACTCATTTTGCTTTACTGTAGCAGGAGTCCTGTGAAGGATGCTCCGTGCCGGCACCCATCACCCTCCTAAGGAATCAAAGAGCTAGGAATGCTTCAACGTCTGTCTACAAAGAAAAAAGAAATGGACTAGCGGAGGCTGCCTCTGTCTGGAGCACTGGGTCACAGTGGGTGCTCCAGCAGATGCCGCACATGACACCCTCTCACATTTCATGATCGTATGGGTGGCCTCATTGACTGCATTGATTCTGAAGGATTATCCGGGCTGGGGCCATTACGCTGAACGCAGGCTGGCTCCTTCCAGTCTGTTGCTGCACTGGATAATCCGGGCTTCTTCATCAGTAATATCATTAGAGCATCATCTCTGCATGTTATTTCTGGGTTATTACCTGCAGGAGAGCATGCTCTATAGCTAAAATGGGGGCCATTTTTCACGTTCCCTGCTGGGAAGCACAGCCGTGTTGACAAATAAAGCCTTCCGCCGACGAAGGGAAGGAGAACACCGTGATGCGCTCGCATTTGAAGCCCGATGAAACGGATACGCGGCAGCATCTTAAGTAACATCAGGCGGAGGGCTTAGAAGATGTCACCGATGAGACAAAACTCCTAAAACCAACTGCAGCCCATTTATTAGAGAATATATTTCAGATTTTGGAGCGCTAAGTGAGATTACGGCTGCTGTTAGTGATTAGTCAACTCCTGCCTTGCTTTAAGATGATTAAACTGTTCAAAAATGGAAGACGAGTAGCTTTCCAAGAGAAATGGAGCAATGACGAGCCGGTGCTTTATGTTAATTGAGGGGTGCCTAATGCAGTCGTTAGCATGCGTAGCAGCAGATGCGGCGAACCTTAATTCTTTTTCACTACTTCCTCTTGGGCTGGCTTGGATGACATCTCTACATTTTTCACTTGATGAGTTGCTCAGTCAGTCACTGAAGAGAAGCACATTTACTTCAAGGACGGCAACTTTAGATGCCACCTCGCCAATTCAACGAGACCCTGACAAATTGAGGCTGAGGGGGGGGGAAAAAAAGAAAAAAGAGACAAACTGTACCCTTCTGAAGTTTAAACTGGTTGCTGGGCATAAACTTCAGACTACTTGACTTTATTTATTGTATTTCAGTTCATCCTCACACAAACATGTGGGGTTTGTAGAGATGTGGAATGATATTTAACATAAAGTAACATCTTAAGTGCTGTTAAAAAGACTCACAGCCACTAAACAATCATAATGTCTCCTTTAGGAATATTAATCTAGATCTACATAGCGATCAACTCTCTCCAGCTCATGTTGGGGGATGCTAAAGTGAGGCATGTTTGTATAGGACTAAGTGATCAATGCAACATGTTGTACCTCAACTTTAAAAAGTAAAAAAGTGAGAGGACTCCCACCTCTCACTAAACAACTCCGCTGTTTGGGAAAATTAAGGTTTCTGATGCAGCTACACTGGAAAAAAAAAAAAGGTGAACTGAACCGACACTTGTCACCGTAACATTTTAAAGCAGCAGAGCATGCAGCTCGCTCTGTGTAACCGAATTACTCATCTGAAACAATGTCGAGCTGAATACTGAACAAAAACCTGCTAAAGTTCAAATCCAGCTGTTAACTGTTTGCTAACTGTACCATCCACCATACCCGCTCAGCCCTTATTTTAAACAAAAAGTCAAACTACAGTCTGGTATCGTGCTACTACAGTGTGCATTTTTTTTAGAAGTTTCTCTTCAAACAAATTTGAACAAACCACTAATGTACCGAGCCATGACTTTAACCGAAGTACATACATACCAAAGTTTTTGCTTACCGTTTGTGTACGCCTTATATCTCCTATCCAAGCGTCCGTTTATGTCTTATCAAAACAAAAAAAAACAAAAAAAAAAGAAGAAATATGTGGTGGGGATTTACATTCAGCCCAGTTAACTCCTTTTAATGCAACTGGCTTTTTAAAGTCGCCTAATTAAAGAGAGTTGACCTGTGTGCGACCTAATCTCAGTGTAAATCCTGATCTTATTTGAGGCCCTCAGAGGTTTGTTAGAGAACATCAGTGAACGAACAGCATCAGAAAAATACAGCAGACGGTCAGAGATAAATTTAGGGAGAAGTTTAAAGAAGAGGTTCGGTAATAAATCAGCAGCACAAACTTTGAATGTCTCACAGGCACATTTCAGACCATCATAGTTTGAACTGTGCTCAATAATCATCACAACATCATGAAAAAAAAAAAGAAACATTGCAGAATTTTCTGGAAAAATATAAAGAAGAAAGCGATTGCTGACAGAAAGCCAGAAGAAGTTCATAAAAAGAAGTTGCTCTGATTAGATCAGTGTAGTGGAAAACTTAGACTACCTATCTTAATAAAATTACCAGTTGATTGGAAGATGGATGAAGCTAAACAAAGAGCAACCCCAGAAGAAAACTTGTTGTAGAACTAGAGCTAGAGCGTCACCTCGCAGACGGAAAGTGATGCTAAACAAGCAGCTAGAGCTGCAGTGGAATCCTGCAGATCAAAGTATTGTCATGCATTACACCTAATTCCACTTCTGAATCTACGTCAAGTCATAAACGGGATGCCCACAAGAGTTCTCCGTCCAGTTTGGCTGTGTTTGAGCTGTTTTGCAAACAAAACCAGGCACAATCTCACATGTTAAAAGATAAAGACAAACTTTCTTTCTCAGCTACAAAAGGCCTGACAGCGGACCCGCATGGGGCAGCGTTCGTATTTCGAGCGTCACAAAATCCAAAGGCAATTCGGTGACCCTAAAAAGTCACGCCATCCGGTCCGAGTCGAGTGTTTTCTGACGTATCACAATGCGCTCGACTTCGACAGCGCATAAATACTTTCCCTGCTCATTTCAGTCTGATCTGGCTCAATTAGCAGGGTTGTAACGATGACTCATTCATCAACACCGTCCTTCCTCCATCAGCTGTTGGGGCTGAGTGTTTGCTCATTCGCTGGCACTGGTGACGGTCTTGTATTCTCTCAGATCCCAAGCCAACAGTGTGACAGTGCAGCTGGAGACGCTACTATGGCGATGAGCCCATCTGAATAGAAACTGGCACACAAAAACGGAGGAGCTCTTTCGTGTCTGTATCAATGAGAGCGTGAGATAAAATGAGAAAGAACGAGATACGCGACATACCTTTGCAGAGTTTTTTTGCGCACTTTTGAGTGCAGGGATAAAACGCTAGGAATGGAGCGCTCCCTCCCCCCGCCCCGAGCTCACAGGGCGTGAGTAATACTCCAGATATAATTTAGAGCACAGAATCACATGCTTACAAAAGCAGCATATGTTGTGTGAGTCAGTTCTGCGCTAAAGCTGAGAAAAAAGGAAGAGAGGGGGGTAAAAAAAACAAAAAAACTTTCCACCTTTTTAGCTCTCTTATATTCCCCCATCTGGCCTCCCGTTACTCTCTCCCTCGCTTGCTTCCTGAAAGCGATTTTGTACCAATGGAGCCACCTTACCTTTCTTCCAATAGCGCCGCTTGGCTTGTTTGGCGGAGGCGGCTCAAAGATCCTCTGCTGCTGCTGTGGCGGCAGCGTGGAGTACAGGGGGATGATTTTCATATCGCCGACTTGTGGCCCCAGGTTGTCGACCTCACGCTTGATTCGCTTGCAGGCTTCGTCGATTTCCTGAAAGATGAAAGGACCACAATTGTTCCCTGAATCTCCAGTGTACACGGACACAAAACCAGGCAGATTCGAGCAACACCTGGATTAACAATGGAAGTGGGCGGACGCGACAGAAGGGGGAAGAAATAAGATGGGGAGCCGGGGAAACCGTGGTTCCCCGCTACAGTACATTTGTTCTAACTATCGTTCCATCTGATGGAGGAAATTAAACTTGGACTGCAGCATGCTTTGCTGAGCTCCCTGTGGCTCTGTTGTCAAATGCAGCAATCATGGAAAACACAGAGGAGCACGCTCGGAAGGCACAAACGTGCAGAGCCAGACACACTCAAACGGGGTTCATTATTCCACAGCGCAGTATTGTGGAGGGGAATGTGATATGAGACTGCAGCATTGATGCATAACCAGCGGCAAATCATGGCAGATCAGTTTAGTGGAGCTGAACGTTCAAGAGCCGGTGGGTTGGCAGACAGAAGCCGTGAGCAGCGCCAGGAATGAGGATAGGAAATGCGAAATTGGAGCCTATTCTCTAACGGCATATTAAATGTAATAGGAAAAATACATTATAAATATTCCATAAAGCCTTTTGCCTAACAACATAAAGATTGATTCATTTTGCTTTCATTCCATTGTAACACACAGACAATTCCATCTTTTAACAACTGTTCAAAGTTCTGAACAGTTTGCAGCATAAAACAAAGCTGTCAACACATTTAGTTGTTTTTTTTTTTTTTGTTTGTTTTTTAAGCTAGTCCCAGTTAGGAACCGTTTCATTATGTTCCAAACAACAATCATTTCATCTTCAACGTGCTGCAGCTCCTCTGCGTGACACCTTGCTGCTTATGCTGTTGCACCACCTACAGGCCCACAGGAGCACTGCAGCAACTTCTCAAAAAGTTCCAATGAAGGCACTCAGAGTAACAAGTCTGAAATTTATGCCTCAGAACAAGTACTAGAAGTAACAGCGGTTTCACAGCGTACCAAAGATCCAGCCAAAGAAAAAAAAAAGTGACATTTCTGACCTACAAAATGTTCATCAACATCCTGTTCCTAAACTCGTTTAAGGAAAAGCGATAATGCTATGATAAAGTACCTCTCAAACTTTTTCAAGTTTGACAAGTTCACTTGAAGAATTTTTTTTTATTTTTTTCAAATCACTTTGGGATGATTTGTTACGAGTCAAAATCTATGTGACTAATTTTTATTCAGCCCACGGGGCAGCCAACTGTTTTCATAATTAGAATAGTCATTTATATAATTTAAACTTTGTTCCAAAAGACGGAAGTTGTTCCACAACTGCAAACCTACAAAGACGTGAGACGTTTAAAATGACAGGCGAGGCGAGGCCGTTCAGAGAAAAGCCATTGTTGGCAACAAGCAACATGGTGGTGGCACCATCATGGTCTGGGAATGCTTTTCATCAGCAGGAACTACAGAGTTTTAATTGCAAAAATAAAGTAAGAACCCAATGATAAATATTGAAGTTTGTGACAAAATGCAAAGAAGTCCAAGGTATATTAAAAAGTTTTACGCGTCTTCAATGCCTTCTTATACAGTGATGTTCAGTAAACTTGTCATGAATAACAAGTTTTAGCCATTTATTGAAATCCTTGTTTTCCTGACAAACCTTTTAGTTCATCTCCTATTACAACAGAATTTTTTTCTTTTTTTTTTTTTGTCTAAAATTTACAATAATCCAGTTAAAGGCGCTGAATATATGCAACATGCAAATGTTAGCAGGGGAAACCGAATGTTTAGGATCATAAAGGAGTAAATTACTTCCAGCAGGCCTGTTTGAAGGCTGTTTACATTGTGGGTTTTGTAGTTTTCACAGCATAACAAGACTCTCATTGCTCAATCAGAACTACAACAAATGGAAGAAACGAGTGATGCCAGAAGATAAAATAAAAAAGACAATGGATCTATGATGGAACTAATTTAACATATAATTTAAAACATCCTATGAAAAATCTGGATATATTTAAGACTTTTTAGGGCCTAATATTGAGGAGATTAAATGTTAGACTTTTTAATACCCTGCAGAAGCCTGGATTTCCTTTCTTTTCCCCCCATCAGGACTGCAAATAGGTTATTAGCCCGGTTTGTCCTCTTGTTCATCAAATCAAGTCGGGCCTCTCCGATGGCCATGTGCCTCTTAATCAACACGCTGACACGTGGAAAACGCTAAATCTGAATGGATCGGTAAAATTAGCCTCAGTATTAATAGCCTATCAAGCTTCTGGATGCAGCAGCTGCCACGGAAAAAAATAAATAAATAACCTCTTTGCCAAAGCGCTGGAAGCAAGCTGGCTGTCTGTCCTGTAGGGATTTGAAGACAAAGTGTGTGTGTGTGTGTGTGTGTGTGTTTGTGTGTGTGTGTGCGCGCGTGTGTGTGTGTACACGTGTGTGCACGTGCATAAACATTTGTCCAGCATTGGGAACCCGTCCACCAGCTCTGCCTGTGACCCCAGAAGCAAGAATCTAACTAGCCAAGCTAAAGTACCAACACATTTGGGCACCCTCCTTGACAAGCAAACAACACCCCAACCCCCACAAATCCTCCTGTTTTTTTTTTTTTTGATGTTAGCTGCTGAGGGGGAAGCTTAAATATTAGGACTTATCTGCTCTCGACAGCTGTGATAAGTTTCAACTTTCTCATTTGTAGCTGGCGCTTCAGTTCTGTTTGTTTGTGGGAAGCCAAATATCTCTCAGAAAAGCTGCGGCGGAGAGAGCTACGTGGCCGTTTGCGCTCGCTTCCCCTCTGATATAAATTAAACAGTCAGATAAAAAGAATCTATGGCTTCGCCATGGATCTGCCTCCAAATCATTAGTCTACATCAAAGTTGCTGGGAGACTGAAGAGGTTAAGAAGCGCTTGAGGGGCACACTGCTGCACCCTTTGAACAGCCATCTCTGCCAGACCTACAACACATTAACTTCTTTAACCCAATTAGGAGAGGGTGATAATGAACTCACCATGGGAGCGCTCTCTGTTATGCCTGGGCTTTACACAGCATGTGGTTGTGGAATATAAATCAACAAATTACATCTAACCACAAAAAAAAAAAAAAAAAAAAAGAGAAAAAATTTTTAAACCTTTGGCTGCACATATCTTAGACTTTTTCCTAGTCAGTCACGGGAGGGACGATCAATGTTTCAGCTGGGATACCACTTATTCTAAAATCAATTACCAATCCTCAAAGGAGACCACTTCAAACACTACGCCGCCCAATGACTTGATCTTGTTTGCAACAAGCCGCATATCGATCTTGGTTTGACAAATTAATACTGACGTAGGTGTTCTACTACAGCCAAGCTGGTGTCAAATGTCAGATAATTACTGGTAATAAACAACCGGCGGAAAATGCGACTGGAGGGGGGGGGAGTCAGAGCAACATGACATCGTTTGAGTGGCCAACGTGGCGCTCGCTTCTCAGACTGCAGGTTCACTGGTGGTTCCTCGAGTTTCTAAAAATAGACCCGGGGAGGAATGGGCTGCTCTCCGGTGGAAATATAACAATCCTGCAACTTTGGTCCCGAATCAAATCAAGCCTCCTGGACTATCATCACGTGTGCACAAACTAAGTACACCCTAAAACATCTGCGTTAGCATAACTGCATCTCAATAGTAGAGAAAACAGTTGGCTCCTTTAAGTCAAGCGTGAAAACATTATTTACTCCAGCTCGCAATAGAGATCAAAGATCACTTCATCGGTTCGTTTTGTCTCTTAGTGTTTTTGTTTTTAACTCTTCATGTGACGCATACGTTTCATGTGACGCTTAAATGTTGTATACATTTAATATATTTATTGATTCGTTGTAGTTTTCTGCGCCTCTGTCGTTTTGTTTTTTTTCTGCAAAGCACTTGGATTTAAAGTGCGCCTTAATGAAATAAACTTGTCGAATCTAAACACCAAAATTTAGTCCAGTGTGTCTCTATCTGTCTCCACCGGCGGCGCCTGCCAATACAACCACTTTTGATTAAATGTTCTCCAACAGCATTCCGTCAAAGAGCCGAGAAACTAATCATGGCAGCAAAAGGCGCTGCTGGATCCGACAGGCTTCTCCTCTCCACTGATCAGGAGATTGAGACATTTGTTGGTGCTTTTCTGCGCGTGTGTGTGTGTCCGCCCAGCTGTGACCAAATTCATCACTTTGGGCACGGACCCTGCCCTCCATTACACATCAGTGGACGACATTTGCAGGAGGGGGAAAAATAATGACTTAATTTCAGAGATTTGTGAGAAGGTTGGAATCTGGGTCACTTGTCTTCTTTTTTTTACATTTGCAGCACAAATCCTGATGATTCCCAAAGAGCCAGAGTCACAGACAGCCAAGTCATTTATTCATCAAAGGATTAGAGATATTTTGTTAAATGTGCCTATTTTATTTATTTATTTCAGTTTCCATGGACACAGTTAACATTTAGGATTCGTAGTGGTGAAAGTACACTTTTTTAATTCTAAGGTATCACCAATTAGAACATTTCTAAACAGTACATATCGTTCTAAAAAAAAAAAAGGAACATGAATCTGGACACACCAACGTGTGGTAGAACACTAGCGATCCGCTTCATGCACATTAAAACTTGGTGGTTGCAGCACCATGCTGTGGGAAAGTTATACCTCAGCTGAGTCAGAGAGGCAGGTCAGGAGTTAAACGCAGTGCAATTTTTGAGAAAAAAAAAAAAAAATTGTTAGCAGCTGGACGAGGTTTGAGATAACTCTAAACATACAGACAGAGCTTCATATAATGGCTAAGATCAAAGCACATTAATGTGTCAGAATACGCAAAGACCAGAGGCGAATCAAACTGAAAATACGAGGAAAGACTTGCTCTTTGCTATTCAAAGACCCAAACTTCAGATTTTTATTTGTAAAATATCTTAAAAAAAAAAAAAAAAAAATCATCCATCCTTTTTAACTTATGCTTCACTATGTTGCCTTCTTAGTATTGGCCACAACAAAGTTCACCAACCTGCAGCTCCCTGGGCTTTCCACAACTGCTCTTTAAATTTTGGCTAGAAACTACAACTAATATTTTTAAACTTAGGTATAATAACAAATCCTTGTTTTAGCAGTTTTTTTTTTTTGTTTTTTTTCCCCCATGGATTAATTGCATTTAATTCCCACAACAGAATGACACTAAATATACCAGTAATATTGTTTAAGATCAATTTTTTATGTATTGGTATTGAAAATGTGTTTGAACATACTTTTCTATAAATAACATTACCTCAAAGTAAACATATGTATTGACTTTTAGCATAAGATGGTGGTTCTTTTTTTTAAAAAAAAAGTCAACAAATTCCTATGGTAGGCATTTATCCAAAAAAATTATATGTTGTCTTTTTTCAAAAGGTCATGTAACGTCTATGGCTTTAAACTAATTCTAATTAGCTAATTATTTAAATTGTTCTTTATCAGATTAAATGCCAAAAAAGTAATACTGAACTTTTTCATGGGGTAAGGATACTTTTGCAAAACACAGCACGCTGAAAAAGAACTCCATACATTTAAAAATGCAAAGAACTTCTAAACGACTGTAAGTTTTGCAGAGGGGAAATCCAACTTGTTAAGATCATTTAACCTTCCATTTCCTCTGTAAGAGCAAATGTTAATGCCGTGCATAAACTATGCCCCATAAAACCTCAATGAACTGAAGCAACTTGTAAAGAGGCGGCCAATATCCCATCAAACAAAGTGAGAGGCTGATAAGGTCATATAGAAGGTAAATACATCATGCAGTATACTTATTTGTACATACACAGTAGTAGCTCATTAAGTTTTCATTTTAGGTGAAATTTAGGAACCAAAATAATGTTGTTTTTTTAATGTCATGATGCATAAACTTTAAGAACTAAAAGAGGGTGCGCGTTGGGAATGCACAATATGTAAGTGTATTGTTATTGCAGTACCAGCGCGTGCATTATTGATACTGCTCAGGACCGGAATGCAGTAATTGTTGGACTAATGTATCTCCAGTGTCATGAATTCATGCTTGAATGGAAATTTAATATTCTGCCTGTTGGTTGGAGCCTCACTGCAGTAGAAGCTCACAGCTGACAGAGAGGACAAGGTTCAAGATGCTAAACGTCACAAAGAGAAACAAAGAAGTGACCGATACGACCACTGAATTATTTACTAAAATTATGTGTAAAAAATAAAATTGATTGCTATTCTGGCTACTCAGGCAAGAAGGTATGCAGCTTTTTTTTTTCCACAAGGAAGGAAGAAAAGAAGGTAAAGCATTAGGAAGGAAGGTGGAAGACAGTGACTAATGGATGCATATAAGACAGGATGAACATAAGGAAGGACATAAGGGAGCCAAAAGGGAAATAGAGACAAGGAAGAAAGAAAAAGCACAAAAATAGATAAGACATCTTTTTCTATACTTATCCAGATTTGGAAAATAAAAAACCCACTAACAAAAAAAAAAATATTGGATATTTTCCAGGAACCCTCTAAACCGTAAAACTTTTTTTTTTTTTTTTTTTCCCCCCCCATATTTTCTGGGGGGGGGACCCCCCCTCCCCGGGGGAAAAGCCAAAACGC